CTAATAAAAAGCCGTACTCGTATAAAAGAGGGGCAGCGACTTTCGTGAAGTCGTTAAAAGCGAGCGGCGCTCTCGTACGGCCGCGTTGGTCCTGACGACCAACCTCGTTAAACGGCAGGAAAATGAACTGACGGTGGATACGATGTGTGGAGGAAATTGATGCCAAGGTCAGAAGAACGGAGTCGACGCAGACAACGGTTCTAACCAGAGGTTTCATCCAGAATGTTCCAAAAAAAAAAAAAAAAAACATGACATGAGAAAAAAAAAAAAACTGAAGATGAGAATGATGAAAAGTTAAAATTACTTCACCCCCCTCCCCCCCCCGACCCCCCTCTGTTACCGTACAGTACATGCCCGAGTACTTTTCATATGAAAATACTTTTTTTTTTTTTTTTTAAATCCTGGAACTCATTGATGACAACGGTTGCCCCGGGTTACAGCCGAGCTCTCCGGGGTTTAACTCACAGCTCGTCACTGTGTGTCTGTCTGTGCAGCAGCAGGTGTGAGGTCACGGGCTGCCTCCAGAACCGCGGGCGTTCAGGAGAACGCCACAGAGGACGGGCCGTTAGAGCGACAGACAGACGGACAGACAGACACCGACGCTGGACGCCGGAACTTTTCCACCTTACAGGTCCGTTCGTCCTGGACAAGATTATGTGGAACGTCTAAAGTCATTCAGATTTTTATTCAGACTAATCTCAACGTTTCTGCCACGTTCACAGTCTCACCTGCTGCATTACAGTCAATATTAGTATAAATATATTTATGTGTGTATGTATATTTATTTTTTTTACACTTACATTTCTCATGTTTTCCTGCAGGAACAGCTGTGATTCCCTGAGAGTCGATGATGAATTTTTTGACTGATTTTAAAAACACCTCCAAACAGGGTGAGGAAACGACTAATAACTGACTAATAAATAAATCAAACACATCATTAGATTTGTCTTATGCTAACGACAACGAAATGTGTGAAAGTGTTTCATTTGCATTTGAATTCAGACTGATATCTGTTTTGTTTTTTGTTTTTATGGAGAGGAATTCTCAGAGAAAGGTGAGAGAGATTTATCCAAACACGGAGGCAATCATAGAGATATTTAAAAATAAAAAAGGGGTCAAATTGAAAACGTAGATCAATATACGACGTCTGAGAGCAATATATCAAATATATTAAGATTAGATGAACAATCGCATTGATTGACGCGGGAATACGACGTTCTTCAGCAGAAAAAAAAACAACAATTTTAACGGCATTAATTGTGTCCGTTCCTCAGTCTTTGACACTGACGTCTCGTGTCTGACTTATTAAACGACTTCATTTGGCGACAAATCAATACAGACGTTACTGCTACGACAAAACATGGCTTCATGACTTCAGGCCTCGACATTCGTCTTTTAACGTCTCTTTTTCCCCACAGAGACACGCGCCACTTGTCTGCCATCCGGGGTGAGTCAGAACGGGGACCCCTGGGGGCTGGACATGGAAGGGTCACACGGCTACGGGTCAGTTGTTGGTTCAACTCTGAAAGGCCAAAGTTAAATCCAGGACAGAGGCGTCAACGCGGCACCAGTTCACAGGAAGGAGTCAAACGCAGGTGAGTGCTTTTTTTTTTTTTCACATTTCCGAGGCCGGTGTCGAGTCGGGTCTGACGTGCTGCGTTTATTGCTCTGCTGAAAGTGGAATGGAACAAAAGGGATCAGAACTCAGTGGAAGAAACCACATTTGTCAAAGGCATTTGCAACTCTATTCGTCTTGTGTGGCGCTCTCTTCTGTTCTTCCTGGCTCCCCGCTTTTGATCTTCTCCGACAATATCCAGGGGCGACACCCAGGAAGCTCTAAATCCATATCAGAGAGCAGATTTCCCCCGGGAGAGGAAGAAAATGAGAGTTTCTACTCTCCAGGAGGTCGGAGTCTGCGGCCCAGCGGCTGTCTCCACCTGGATGTGCGAGGGCGGGGGCGTTTGTTCGCATACACCCGGTGTGTGATTGTTTGTCTGAGTATCAAGGCTCGTTTCTCTTTGTTCAAATCCTCCTCCTCCTCCTCCTCCGTGCACGACCCAAACGGACTCGACCTATCGCCGTTCCATTTGTTATTCCCTTTTTAAGGCGCGCGGCGCGAGATCACGTCAAAAAGTATTGAACTTTGCATTCCACACGAGCTGTCTTTCACAGAAACCTAGCGGATACGCAGTGGAATAGGAAATCCATGCACACTTCAAACAATCCTAATCTCACCTGACGCAACGTCAATACGTTTCAATACGGATTCATCAAATAGGCGTCGAAGAGAAGCCGCGCGTCGTTGACACGGGGGGGAAATGTAATTTTTTGTGTCACATTCACTGAGGTCAGAGCTTCAACTTCAACTCTGCCAACACTCGCCGACATGAAGTTCTTAAATGTTCTCAACTTCTTTGTCTTAACGCCTGAAATCTGGCCCAGAGTAGCATCAGTGTGAATAAAACTTTTTTCTTTTCCAAAAAAAAAATCAACTAAATATTGGTTTATTTAATCAAAGCTGATACAGAGATTGAGTTCATAGAAAAGTTAGCGACCTCACACCAGAGGTCATTCACATTGACGGCCATTTTTACCTGAATCACTCATCGCGGTGATGTTGGAGGGTGATTGCGATCACAATGCTAGCATGGTAAGTCTGCGATTGCGCAGCAACATTTTTATTTATTTATTTTTTTTGTAATGCTGTTACATTTTGCAGGTGTATTTTCATGAATCAAAATGAGCTTTTCTTATCACTCAGTACCTTTAAAGTAACTGGCGACCTTTGAAATACCTGTGTTGCACAGCTTGATATTTTGACAAACAAATACCTGTGTTGCACAGCTTGATATTTGGATAGTCGCTTCATTCACGCTCGTCGGGCTAACTTTGACCTAAGCAGTCCAAAATTCCGGACCTGATATAAACGTAGCAGATCCCGAACTGTCTTGCTCGGAGCTGGAGTACAATCCTTTTGCCTCACGATCTTACGGACAAGTATCAAAAACGTACAAGGACGGATCAACATCCAACGTCTGTAATAATCTGAGCTCCTGTTGAACTGTTTTAATAATCACATCTGGAGTAGAGGAAAAATCCGGAAGCAGAAGCAGAGTGAAGTTTGTGTTTGTGCCGGATTTTAATTTGTGGCGAGCACGCAGAGCGATAGGTGATGTAATGACCCTGCTCTTCTGACAAGTCTTTCACACTGACACCCGTGTCTGGCCAGTGATTCATTCAAATTGTCACTGAATCTTATTCTATTCTTCCTTCCTTTAAATGAGCTGAGATCTAATTATAGCCTAATGCATGACTTATTAAAGGCCCTTCTTCTGCCGTGGCAGTCTGCCAATCTCATCTTCACTCATAATTCCAGAATTCAGCTGTGGCACTGAACTCTGATTAGACATGCAAACATATTCTTTGCCTCGTCTTGGATCCAGCGCTCCAAATGAGGCTCACCTTAATTATTCTCTAATCCATTATTACTCAAGAAGATTTTTTTTTTTGTCCGCTGAGCATACGGAAATATTTCAGCGTGTACAACAATTGGAACAGATATCACAAGGCGTTCCCGAGGAGAGAATTCAAATGTGAGAGTTTCGGATTTTGAGGATGCTGAGTTTTCTTATTATTTTAGGGAGTCTGAACTCAGATACAAGTCCCATGGTAAATCTGTCTGCAGTGGGGAGGTAAAGAAAAATGAAGAGTCCTATAATACTCCAACACCCCAGAGGCCTGTGTGGTGTTCCACTTACTGCTCACTACGCATGCAAAACATTTCCTTTCTTACAAAATTGTGTTGCGAGTACAACATCCATTCTTGATGATTCCACTCTGTTTTACAAAAGAAAAAAAACAACCAACGTCTGCCAAGTCTGTGGTCCTGAAGCGTATAAAACATTTTTAATCTAATCATGATCATTTGTGAGATTAAAGAAGTCTATTTAATAAAATAGCATTGTGTTAAAAGGAGGTTACTTTCCTGGAAGTTTTCTCTGCTTCAAAACAACAAATCATTGGACCGAAAACACGGGAAAGAAAAACAGAAGATTAGTTGCCGTAGTCCGCGGTGGACAACAGCAACGCTGCCTCACCTGGTCTCGAGGGGGATGTTGCTGTTGAGCACCCAGCTGTTGTGAAGCTGCGCTTGGTCTGTGCTGGAACTGGTGTCCGCCCCCTGGCTGCCCTGGCTGGTTTGGCACCGCGTCGGCATGGTCTTCCTCTGGAGGCTGACTTGGGTGTAGGGCGCCGGACGGGCACAAGTGCAAGCATGGGGGGGCGGAGGTGGCGGGGGCAGAGGGCGAAAAGTAAACTGACCACCTGGACTGCTGGGCAGCTCTGTACAGAGAGACGGGGGGGGGGGGGGGGACAAATAGGGAGAGAAGAAGAAAAAACCACATGGGTTGATTAGGACGGTACAACGGTCGACGGTTTACTGTTCTGTCACTGATGGAGGAAAATAAATCCCTGGTAAAAAAAAAAATCTCCTCTTTTTTACCTGCAGCCTCAGAAAAACTGGGCTATAAATAAATACACTCTGTTCTGGCTACGACACAGAGGAGCCGAACAACCGACAGACGACGGACAACAAAGACCGACCTGGAGGTTTACGATGAAACGAAATCTGCCGTCAAACTAACTGGTAACCAGTCAAGCTAACTGGTAACCAGTCAAGCTAACTGGTTACCGACGGACAACAAAGACCGACCTGGAGGTTTACGATGAAACGAAATCTGCCGTCAAACTAACTGGTAACCAGTCAAGCTACTGGTAACCAGTCAACTACTGGGAACTAGTCAAGCTACTGGGAACTAGTCAACTACTGGTAACCAGTCAAGCTACTGGTAACCAGTCATCTACTGGTAACCAGTCAACTACTGGTTCGTGTAAACTGTCACCTTATGGTAAGCAGTTCTCTTCTAGTAACCACTCACTTATACCTAATGTGACTAGTCACCTTCTTGTACCCAGTCACCCACTGGTAACCAGTGACCTTCTTGGTAACCAGTCACCTCCTAGTACCAAGTTACCTTCTTGTACCCATAACCCGTCAAGCTACTGGTTCATGTAAACTGTCACCTTAACTACTGGAAACCAGTCAAGCTACTGGTAACCCGTCATCTACTGTTAACCAGTCATCTACTGGTAACCAGTCAACTACTAGTAACCAGTCATCTACTGGTAACCAGTCAACTACTAGTAACCAGTCATCTACTGGTAACCAGTCAACTACTAGTAACCAGTCATCTACTGGTAACCAGTCACCCACTGGTAACCAGTGACCTTCTTGGTAACCAGTCACCTCCTAGTACCAAGTTACCTTCTTGTACCCAGTTACGCACAGGTAACCAGTCATCTACTGGTAACCAGTCACCCACTGGTAACCAGTCGTCTACTAGTAACCAGTGACCGTGGGAAGCGGTAGCTGTAAAGTCCTTTCCCAATCGTCTTATCGAGATTCCTGACGTCCAATGTTGACACAGTTAAGCACCAGAGTTGGTTGGGGGGGGCGGAGGTCGTGGTGGGAGTCAGTCTCTTCGGTTACAACAGTCTGGTTTCTCGTGGCTTTTTTTTTTTCGCTCCGCGCCCCGACATCGTGCGGCTGTTCTCTGCATCTGTGAGTAGATTTTTCAAATCAAGAACGTTCCGTGTGTGCTCGCGGCCAAGTGAACATCAGCCATCTTGGGAGGTTACGCCTCTGCGTTCAGGGCGACATACGGCGGCAGTACGGTTCTCCGAGCACAGAGAAACCAAACATCCCACAAGACCCCGGTCTCCGGCTGTACTGACAGTCAGTGTAAGGTTATATCTGTACGGCAGCGAGGAGTCGCCGCTCTTAGCCTCAACATTGTTGGTTTGTTTTTTTTTTTCTTCTTTGAAAATGACAGCAATAATTTAGAATCTGTAACAGTATCCCGCCCTCGGAGATCTGCCCCAGTCGTAGGCCGGGGTATTACCCCCAGACGACTCCAGACAGCAGATCTAATGAAAATGCTAAGAAAGGTGAATTATTAAACAAAAAGGCAAAAAGGGTTTGGTTTCAACTGCCAGTAAAAAAACAAAAAAAAAAAAAATAGAGTTAGTAAAACAGGTACTGATGCTAACGTTATCCCATAAACAACATGTGGTGTCGTTGTGTTGCTACTTTGCACCAAATTGTTGTTGCCTTTTCTCCCCACACACAGACATGTTGCTGTTATGTCAGACACTCAACACGACGTTTATTGATTTCCATCAGGTTTTATGGCGTTTTCAGATTCAGCAGTGTAAACACCAGGTCGTGGTGGAACACGTCGTCGTTGATGCCCCTGGCAGGGCAACACCCTCACGCTCTATAAACATTTCCGCGACACCATCTGTCCACCGCCAACGATGGCGTTGACAACAATATCACCGTTTCCTCTGCTCCTCCTCCTCCTCGTCGTCGTCGTCTTCCTCTTCTTCGACCTCCCGTTCATATCACTTTTTATTTATTCTCTACAAACATGAAAATGTTTATTTCAAATATACAGCTGCGTATATGAAAATAAAAGTTTCAAAGCCGCAGCCCAGAAGCTGTCAACGTGCCGTCTGGATGAATGGCATGTTTTATGAATCTTCCAAGATGGCCGCCTCGTCCCTGTCATATTTCCATATACGAATGCAAAAAATATATTTGTCTCCCCTCTCTGCAGACTGACACAATGAAATTATCTCTTCATTACGCATGACGTGCCATTACTCACATCACATATTTATTACATCGCTGCGCTGTATATACGGAGGCGGCCGAACCCAACGCCGTCTTCCTGTTGTTGTTGTTGTTTGATGCACTCACTCATAACAACAATGAATATTTTCAAACACATTTCTTTTTAAATATCGAGCGTTGAAGCAGTGAGTTGACTTCGAATATTAGAAAGATATTCCTGTGACTTTTACACATGTTTTCGGACTAAAATAAAACGTAACATGTAGCTGATACAACGCCACCTGTTGTCGGTAACTGAAAACAATCTTTGCCAAATGAACCCCATTGGTTCAAAACTGTTAAAACCTCCCCACGGTGCAGCAGGACGGTGTTCGCTGCAGGCTCTGAGTCCACGTCAGTTGTAATTCTCTCAGTTTCCGACTCTCTTCAGTTTCTTAATCTGAGGTTGTGTCTTGGCCACCTGGGCCCCGAGAGCCGCTGTTTTAAAACATCTGGAGGCGGCATCTGTGCAGGAGGTGTATGTTTACACACATATATATATATATGCAGGTTTCAAACTACTTCAGTATTTAGCAGCGTCCAAACGGTGAGAACTTGTAAGAATTTTCACCATTTCCTTTACCTAGTTGATCACAAAAGCAGTTTCTATTCTATTATGTTCAGTTCTATTCTTCTCCGCAGACCTTCGCCGCGGCGCGAAGCACATTTTACTGCTGTTTAATCATGAATCTGTTTCCGTTCCTTGATCACAATGCTGAGAAACATCGAACAGAGAACAGACGTGTCGTCAGTCGGAGGCGCCGTCGAGTTTGAAACTGTGAAAGCCCAGAATGGAATTTGTGGTTGTTTTTTTTTTCCTGAACCACCTCTGCATATCAAGATGGCTTGTTAGGGGGAAAAATAAAGCACTGCGACATTCTCATGGCAATGCACTAGAGGCAGCAGAGCGGAGCTTCAGGTTCGAGTCGAGTCCAAAAATCCCCCGCTTTCACAGGTTTCTGTCAACAAACCCAAAGGAAAAACGGTTTCTCTGTTGAACATTTGCCCGTTTTTACAAGAGCGCGTTTGTTTGACTCCGGTACTTCAGACGTGCTTCAGGCACTGACACCGGTACTTCAGACGTGCTTCAGGCACACGGTCGACTTACAGCGAGGACCGACTCTGAGGACTCGAGACTTGACTCAGAACGTGAGTCAGTGTGAGATAATGACTGAGGAGAAGTTCACGCCGTTCTGATGTGGTGAAGTCACTGAGAGTGTTTCACACCAGAACCAGGTTCTGGTGTGAAACAAACTTAATGACAGTGAAGTGAAGAGTAAAACAACATTTAGTTTGATTTTGATGTATTAGCCGTCAGTTGATCGTTGATCGTTGATTCCATCTGGTTGATTCAGAGAGGGACGAGTCCAAAATCAGGGAATCGTCTTTGGGATTATTATTTATGAATTGATTGATACCAAACGCAGACTTTAGATCGACACTTTTTTTAGCGAGGTTTGCATTTGCCCTGGTCTTTTGGGAAGCACGGACAAAGAGAATGGACCTGGACAGGAAGTATACAGAAGGCGGACGCCAGCGGGAGGATGTAATTGTAGTGACTAGTGTGACACGTGCACTCTGGCTGCCAGATGGCGCTTCAGCGAGCTGCGCTTCAGCGGCTGCGTCTCCATCAGTGGATTTTCACAAACTGAACTCCAGCTCTTTCACACAGTAGTTACACAAAAGTGGGTGCGGAGGAAAATCTGCTAACGTATTCCGGCACCTCGCCTCTTTAACACGGAGTCGACTGAAACACGCCGCCACGTGTGAAGGAGTCGGAAACAGCGGCTGTGACCTTGATGTGCTGGCATTTCCAGGACTGTGGTTGGACTGGGGGGGGGGGTAATGGGGGGGGGGGTAAGGGGTTAATCCAGGAGTTTAGAAACAGCTAATGGAGAGAAGATAGAGGCCGGAGGAGGAGACGCATCACAGCTCAAGATGAGAGCCATAAAAGTGTAGACCATCCTCTGCCCCGGGGTTTTTTTTTTTTTTTTGCTGAGATTTAACCCTCCAAAAAAAAAGTCTATTTCAGAAAGTGGCTTAAAAGATACTGGAATCATCAGCTTTGAGTTACAAAAGAAGGAGAGCAGGAGGAGAATTTTAGGGTTAGGAAAAAAGACGATCCGTGCGGATTTACTAAGAAGTCTAAGAGGGAACAGGTGCCGCGGTCAGACGTAAAAAAAAAAAAAAAGTTTTACAATTATTCTAGAGACCAGTAGATTTCAAATACTTTCTACTTTCTACTCCCTGATATTTACTTAATAAATACTTGTACTGGGCACGGCCCGCTCCCTGCTGCAGCAACATATTGATAAATAATAATAATTTATTTAAGACTGATGTTCAGAGAAGTGGCAGGAAAAATGGATTCAATCTGGTCGTCGATACTGAACTGCATTCTGGTCTTTTTATCGGTTGTACATCAGTTTATGGCAGTAGAGCAAACATCGATGCAAACAAAATAGTCTAATTCTGTATCGCACATAAAATGACATCAATACACATTAAAGAGTCAATATATATATACATATATATATAAATATATATCACCGAGCCAGAGTGGAACTGATGAGTAATCACGTTAATGAAGGAGCGTTTTTTTTCATAT